GCTGAGCACTTGATGCATTAGGTAGGAACATAGACTCTAAGGTGGGGAGGATGGTGCAAAACAATGCCTTCAAAATCTATTCAGAGGACCCAAAACCACTGCTCGAGATTCCCTCGTTTGTTTGGTTGGTTGGTTTCGGTTTTTTTTTCCTTTGTGTGCATCACATGGGGGAAAGAAATACATCACTCAAGGATACAAATATTGAGTGGAAGAAATTTCAAGATAAATCCTTGTAAGGCCTTGCTCCTACAATATCATGGTCCTGCTCTTGCAGAGAGAGAAGAACAGGATGGGCAGTCCCATGTATTAAAAAGTCAGCTCCTAATTTGCTTTTTTTTGTTAGTGTTCTGGACTGTCAGTGTTCAAAAATCATCTTCAACATCCAGAAAATGTATCTGTCTGAAGTGCACCCTTTTGCTGGTGATATCTGATTTCCATTTGAGCATTTCACCGCAGGAGGTGGGGCTTTAAGGAAAATACCAAATGTTAGGAGATTTGCAACAGCTGGTAATGCTCTGAGGATGACAAATAAGCACCGTTTCCCACCGCAGCCTTGGAGACCCCTTAGGTGATGTCTAAGCAGGACCCTCATCATGTGTCCGCTCACTGGTTTTGGCACAGCAGAAGGTTAAGGTAGCTTGAGGTGCAGAGATCCCCTCAGAGGGGGACCGAGTGCCTGTGGAAGAATGGAATAGAGGAGAAGTGAGATGTGTCCAGTGTTTTCAGCTGTTGCTTTTCTCCCTCACCTTTCTGCCCATGTAGAGGCAAAGGCCATGGTGCTTCATTGACCTGGTTCAAAGCCACAAGGGCTGTGGGATGCTGTGCCAGAGCTGGCCCTGGTTGCCAGTGCATTGTAACTGCTGGCCGTGGCTCTGCCTGGAGAGCAGCTCTTGTGCACAGTGCCTTCTCCACCCACACACATGGCAGGAGCGAGGGAGGGAGGTGGTTAAACTCAGGACGTGATGATCTGTGAGTCAGACACTTGGCCAAAAGCCTCCAGTGCTCCCAGCCTCTCCAAAAGCTGATGCCTCCAGCTTCCTCAGCCATCACTAAAGACTAACTCTGAAATGGTGCTGTCTGAAGGCACAAAGCTGTTGTGTCCTACAGAAGATCAGGATTTCCTGCAGCTCTGGTTTGTGGAGGGCAAACAAGACGAGGGAAGGCTGTAGTAAGGCCAGAGGGAGGAAGTCTTGATCTTAAATCCCCCTTTAGCATCACAGTAAGTGTTTTATCCTTATGATACCCTTTGTGTTCTCTGCAGTGCAATGGAAATTGAGCCACGCTGACCTATGCAGGGACTTTACAAGGCCACAGTCAGGTCTCTTTGCTGTGCAGCCTCTCTGAACTGGGGTGAGGGAGGGAAAGGACCCATGAACTACTTGGTAGGGACATTTGGGTGCTGAGCTGGAGGCACCTGCGATGCCCTTGGTGTCAGAGGGCTTTGCTGAGCCGTGTCTGTGAAGCACCTCAGGTTGGTGTGCCTGAAACTTTTGGATCTCTTCTCTCAACCACCCAGGAGACCTCCAAAGAACATGAGGATTTCTTCTTCCCCTATCTAAAATCCAGGCTGAGCATTGGCTCTTGCAGGCTTGTCAGCATAGGCACAAGCCTTAGTAAGGAGGAAGGCTGTCACTGCTGTAAGGATGTCAGCAGCACTGCTATGAACCAGCCTTTCCAGCATAAACCAGTTTGCAGAACCCTGTGATGCACTGCAGCTTGCAGCACAAACTGGAATGGGACATGTCCCACCAGAGTGTAGCTGGTCACCCCGTGGAGAGGAGGTCTCTAGAGAGATGGAGAGGGAGCTGGGCCGCCTGTGTTCTTCAGGTAATGCCATTTCTCAAGCAACTGAGGCAGCAGCTCAGCTGCATTGCTGACTTGCCCTCCCAGTGCAACCTGAATGCACTCTCAGTGTCCATTCAAACTTTGGACTCTTCCAAGAGCTACCCAAAAAAAACATCAAGGAAGAAGCTTTCTGTCTGGACTGGACTCAGGTCTTCTTTTCACAACGGAGGTCACACATGCCCCTTTTTAGTTTATGTTGGTTGACTACCAAGCAGAGAAGCATCTATGCTCCCACTTGGTTTGTGTCCCATCAAGAGGCCATGCTGGCTAATGCATGGTTGATTCCTCTAGACAGAAAGGTGAGCATCACCTCTTCCTCCACGTTCTTTGCTGTTGATAGGTATCGCCTGGGTTTTTTCTGTGACTATCCTTTCAAATTCTGTGTTCCTCTGAACACTTACATACATTCCCAAGAACTTTTCAGGCTAAATCTCTAACTCTTCTGCTGCTTAGGTTATCAGAGTCACAGAGTCACAGAATCACAGAGTCACAGACTGGTGGGGATTGGAGGGGACCTCAGGAGATCATCCAGTCCAACCCCCCTGCCAAAGCAGGTTCCCTA